GCTGAGGGTTCCAGGGTTTCAGTTCCTCTTCTCTGGTGAAGCTCTGCAATCTCTCTGTGTTTTCTGATTTGTGTTGACCCTCCTTTGGAGGGAAGGTCCAGTTCTCTGCTCCCTTAGTTTTAAATGCACACAAACTGCTTTCATGAGACAGGGATTTCATGGGTAGAACTCAAGTAATTCCATAGAAGAGCTGGAGAAACTCGTTTCCTGGGTATCCCTCACGTTTCTTAAAGTAGCATCCCCAAATCTGGGCGTGTTCCATCGAATCCCAAGGCTGTGGCTGCCATTCCACCCAGGCTGGGGGATCAGCCCCTTTTCTGGGCTCTCCAGCCCACAAAGCATTTTTACCTGCAGCAAACAAGGCCAAGGCAAAGCTGTCTGACAAACCCTTTGCTAGACTTTATCCCTGTGTGTGGAGGGGAGTGTGGCAGGTCCTGTGCTGTGTCCCTCCAGAGGGTGGGAGGGTGTTATTCTCACTGGCATATTGTGCGTGGGAGAGTGGGGAAAAAAAACCAGCCACCAAACTGAAATGGCATTTCAAGTTAACCAGCCTTTCCAAAGGCATCTCTGATTAAACAGATGTGGGTTAAATAATTTAAATTCTCTGCACCCTTCAGCGTAGAAATGGCAAAAATGTGGAAGTACCTTCAGCTTGCTGAAAGTCTGGAGGAAAGAGGCTCTGAGGTGACTTTGGTTTGGTGTATCCTGGAATAGAATCATGGACTATCCAGGGTTTGAAGGGACTCACCAGGATCATCAAGTCCAATAACAACAGAAGTGGTGCTGGCTGTGCTGTCAGGCCTGCAAAGTAATGATTGATGTGTGAAAAAAAAGTCTGCTGTATAAACTTAAAGGGTTTTTAATTTAGTTTTGTTGGTTTGGCTCTCTCATTCCTCTCTTTGGAGACAAAAAAAGAAAAGCACGTGGAGGGGAGTGACCTTTTCCATGAGGGGGAATTGAATTGGAAGAGGTTTTATCCATCTTTGTTAATTTTTTGGGATGTCAGAGCATTATGTTAATGTTTCTTGCAAGGTAAAAGATGATCAAAATCCTGTTAGCCCTGGAATGCTCCACCCTGGGCAAGTCTTGAGTGATGTCCAGGTCTTTGTGGGTTCAGGAGGAGGTTTGGGAGGTAAAGTTTTCGGTGAGGAAAGCTTTTAAAGAGGCTCTGTGAAGTGTTTCTACGTGGAAATCAAGGAAGGGTGAGTGCATTGCTGGTGGCTTTATTCCTGTTCAGCTCTGTCCCAGCAAAAATAAAAGCAGCTTTTGGTATTGCATCCTCATTTACAGGGCAATAAAATTCCAGGGAAAAGCAGCAATGCTTCATAAAAGTACAAACAAAGCAAATGCCTCTCCTGGGATGTGTCCAGCCAGCAGAGACTGTTTGGAAGGAGAAGTGTTTGGCTCGGGTGGGAAGTGCAGGATGGTGACGTTACAAAAATCAGTGGACATGAAATGAGTTAATAGAGGTGGAAGTTTTCCCCTCTGGGCACTGCCAAAGGGTTTCAGGGGCAGAATTTTCCCAGGAAACTTTTCATCTGATGCTGCTGATGGTTTTTATCTTGATATTAATTGAGATTTTGGTAACATCGAGGTGACATCTCCGATGTACTGTGGCCACACAGGGTCCTGCCTGTCAGGGGGTGGGTGCTGACAGGGGAGTAGGGTTTGGGTGTAGTTTGGCTGTGCCTCCAAGCTCAGGGAGACCATGATCCATGATGATGCCAGGCTGGAGTTGACTCTGGGATTGTGCTCCCTTAGCTGGATAAACCTTGGATCCATCCATGCATCCATCCATCCCCATGATTCATTGTGTGTTCCCAGCACGTGGTGCAGTGTTTTGTGTTGGAGCTGTTCTTCCAGCACACACTGGTGTTCATCTGGGGAGTGTTTGCAAATGATTGAACATTTTAATCTCTTTCCTGCCTTCCCTCTCATGGATTCCAGTGATGTGCATCCAGCAGCAGCCGCAGGGCTCTTACCCCAGAGGGATTTATGGGCTGTGGAATGAGGCATTCCCACTGTAATTTCTTTCTCATCTTTATTTTCTCCCATTGTATCCTCATCTCTGGGCTGCTCTGAGACAGCATTTCCAGCACTTCTGCTCCTGGAGGCTCCTTCTCCAGCCCAGCCCTGGGCTTTGGCAGGAGCTTCCCAAGAGCCAGTGCTGTTAATGCAAAGTGTGAATCCTCCCCTGGGGGTTGTCATCACCTCTGGGTGAGTGTGTGATGCTGTGTGAGTGAGTGCAGAGGGACCAACACAATATTCCCCTCCCAGCCATGCTTTAAACTGTGTTTTCCCACCTGGGCAGCCTCGTGCTCAGCAGTGATGCACTCGTGGTAGAGCTGCTGGGGAGAAATCCCTGCTGGGAATGGGGGAATGGTGGAATGTTTGAATTTAATCTGAGTTAAATTATTAACCTGCCCACGGAATGGTGGCCAAACGGCCACAACCATTGGGATAAAACTTTTGTTCCTCTACCCTGCCCTCTGTGGCCCCAGTGCCAGCAGGGATGTGATTCCAGAGAAGTGCTGCTTTGGGCAAAAGGCTCATTGTCCTGAAGGCTGAGTCTGTGTGTGGTGAAGTGGGATCACTCCTGGACTGTCCCTCACTGCACAGCCCTGGGTGTGGCCGTGCTGACACTGCTCAGCTCCCTTCAGCCCCACAAGGGCTGGGTTTGCTGGGTTGGCCCACTCTGGCCATCACATGTGAGGCAGTCACCTCCCATGTTCTGTGGCTCACTCACTTTCCACTCTAAACCAGTTTTCTCAGCAGTTTTTCTTCCCCAGTGGTGCCAGTTTTAGCTCTGTATCATTTTCTCCTGCAGACACCAGTCCTGAGCCTCCTTTGTGCAGGTGTGCGTGTCTAGAAAATGCATTTAATGCTTCAGAATGTTCCACCTCCCTCCAGCCGGGCTCAGAACCCACCTGATCCCCAGCACTGGGTCTGATATTCTAATTTCTGGTTTCTTGTTCCCCAAAGCCTGCAGTCACAGTGTCTGTTCACAGAGGCTCAGGCTGCTGCCTCTCAGGGGGCTTTGCTTTAGTTTGGGGTTTTTTTGAGGCAGTTGGCAAGAACAGCTGGTTCTAAAAGCTAAACAAATTTCCTTCCTAACCTGTGGCTCTACCACCTTCCCCCCAGTGTGTGTCTGAGCCAGGAATGCTGCTCATCTGCAGGGCCTTTCCTTGGAGACCTGGCTGATGCCCCTCCAGCTCCTGCTGTGGGAATGAGGTTGGGTTTGTGCTCGGTTTTACCTTTGTTTGCAGGGCTGGGAACAATGACCTGTGGCTCCCTTCCCAAAGAATGACACGTTGCCAAAAGGAGAGGCAGGACTTGCTTCAAAATGCAAACCAGCAAACTCCCTCCAGCCCACCAACACGATTCCCTGTCCTGCCTGCATGGAATAATTGCAGCCTTTCCTCCACTCTCCCATCTTGGTATTGTTCTCCTGAATATCACCTGGGACGTCTTTACTGTCATGATACTTTTTCTTAGTGCACAATTAGAATTATAACACCTTTTGCATTATCCTCTGAAAAGCATTTGATATAATTAAAGGGCCGGACTTGCTCTGAAATAACAAAATTTTGCCAAGGAACAGTGTTCCAGATGAATTGTTTTTAAGGCAGATTATGCTGGCAGGTGGGGTTGTATCTCAGGCTGGAGAAGTAGGACACATTCCTTATTTGCTGTCAGTTTTCCTTTTGTGCCTCATGCAGATTTGTCTGATTCCAGCACTGGAGAGGGAAGCCTTGATTTAGGAATCTGTGTCTCAGTAAAATGACAAATGTTGGTGGGAGGCTCTCACCTTTCTCCCCCAGTGACTCTGCTGCCTTTGCTGTGATTTGAGGCAGAGAAATGGATTAATTATTGGGAAGGGTGACAAATGCACCCTGTGCAATCCCACCCTATCCCATGGAGCCAGCTGGTTCCTGCTGGGATGCTGGGCTGGAATAAAGGAAACCAGCCAGCTCCCAAAGCCCAGCATTATCACTGACCTGCCAGAGTTGAAAGGTGTTGTCATAGCCCTGTAAAATGTGATGTCATACAGGTGTTCCAGCTTCCACTTAGAGAGAAAATCAAGCTCCTGTTGAGGGGGGAATAAAAGGTGCCTCAGAATCCCAATAGTAAAGACAATATAACTAATTAAAAAAGAATAAAAACATCCTGTGGTGATTAAGGCAATCTTAAAATTTGCAAGGGCTGGGAGGAGAGCAGCCTTGGGCCTGGTTTTTGGCTGCCTGGGGCTGGCAGCTGGTTTTGGGAATGCCTTGGGTACTGTTTTTCACCTTCTGTTTGTATGTCCAAGTCTTAATGAAATGAGTTTTAGGTCCAATTTGAAGTCTTGAAAATCTTTGTCACGAATAAGGCAGCGTTTATTAGGTGGTTCCACACTAATTGGGATTTTTCTGTTTCTACCCTACTTTTACAGCCCTTAAAAATCTTTCCCTTTTCTTCAAACTGCACCGAGTTATCTCCATACTGTAAAACACCAGGGGGAAATTGTGCTGTGCTTCTCCTGGTGACCTGGATAACACCTCTTACGAGGTGCAGGCTCAGAAAACATGAAAAGGAGTTCAAGGGAACCCGGGAAACTTCCCTCAAGGTTGTGGTGAAGAACAGCTGCTTTGGCAGAGCTGCTGGATCCTGGGGTGCAACCAGAGCAGCACGTGGGGCTGAGCTGCTCCTGTGCAGCCTCAGTGCAGACAATGAACTGGGGACCTTCAGGGAGTGCTGGAAGGCTGGGACAGGCATTCCCTGTTGTGTGGAGCATGGGAAGTGTTGGATGGATGTTCACATTCCTTGTTCCTCCCTGGAGTGCTGCAGTTTGGCTTTCCAGGGGTTGGAGGTGGGAATGGCTGTATTGAGTGTCCCTGGAATCCATTCAGGGTGATCAGGTTGTATCAGATTATATCCCTCTGATCTGGGGATCAAAACAAAGAAAAAGAGAATTGAGGCACTGTCCAGCTGCTGGATTTTCTTAATTTTTTCTTTCATAGAAGGAATCAAATCCCATCTCACCATCCTGGCAGAATGGATTAAAATGAACCACAGTGTGTTTGTGCTCAGAAACCTGCCCTGGTGTCCTTTGGCTGCTGGAGGTACTTCCATTTTCTCTGAGGGTGGAGCTGATGAGGTGTATTTTGCTGCAGTATCAGCTGCCTGATAATTTAACTTCCCTTATCCCATTATGGTGCTAAGCAACATTTGAAGGGATCATGAGTTTCCTTTTTGCTATGGGTGCCTGGAGAGCATGTACAGTCTTTATAATAAGCTTTAAATCTAAATAAAAAGTTAAGTATATAGCACTCTAAGTCTTCCCAGCACTTTAATAGATTTATTTAATCATCCTTTATGAGCCAGGCCAGCAGTTACAACCTCCCTGGTCCGGAGGGGTGATGATGGATCAGCAGAGGGAGGGATTGCTTTGCTCAGGAGAAATGGCACTGGAGCAGGAGGGCAGTGGGAGAATCTCCCACTTAATGACCCTGGTTTGATATCAGTCCCCAGCCCTGGTTTGGGGCAGGTGTTGCCCCTCCTGGGGGTCAGGCAGAGAGGGAATGTAGCATCACACCGGGGCCACAGGGAAAAGCAGCCTCACAGGACCCTGCTGGTTTTCCTCAGAGCCAGGATCTGGCTCATGGTTTGCAAGCTCTGCCAGGCTAAATTAGCTGCTGATTTGTCATCTAGGCAGGAGAGCCCCAAAAAGGTTTGGAAATGCAGTTCCCACCCTGCATATTTCCCATCTGATTCCCACAAAATCCACAGCACACCAACCATGGTGAGTACCTGGACAGGGTTATTTAATCACCTCATAAAAAAATGGAAACAGATACTTAATGAATCAAAGTACACTCAGATTAAATGATCAGAAATTCCTAGTTAATCACCAGAAAGGAAACTAATTAAATTACCATTCAGCTTTTATGGGGGCCTTGGGATGGTGAGCTGAAATAAGTCCCTTCAATCACTTTTTTCATTAGATGGGACAGGCATATTCAAGGTTAGTGAAGATAAATGGGATGTTCTTTGCTTGCTCTTGAAATTATAGTATTTAAATAGCATTTTATGCTTCACCACTTAATGCTAAACCTGAGGTAGCTGCAAGGAGAAGCTGTGGCAGAGGAGGCTTAGCAGGGAGACACGGGAGGAAGGTGAGAATTGTGGGATACGTGAATCGAGATTTACGAGGCTTTCATTTAATTATTATTTAAATTTCTAATTGGATTTTGCCTTCAGGAACGAGGTAGATCAGTGATACTGGAAGGGGATGAGGCAACTCCTGTGTTGACTCAGGCCCTTGGGAAGCAGGGAGGGGTTAAAGGTGGTGTGTGGTGTCCCGCTGACTCCGATGGCATCCAACCCTTCCCACGCCAAAGAGGGAAAGACTGTGATGGTGTATTTTGTTCAAAGTGTGGGATTTTAGTAGCAAGAGAGCAAATTCCTATTTTTTGGGGCAGCTCTGTGTCCTTAGGAGCCACCAGTGTGGCTTTGTGGTGATGGAACCTCAGCGGGTGGGTCAGGTTCTCCTCCAGCAGGTCCTGCCTGCCTTTGGGTTTGTCCTTGGCTTTTTATCCCTGTCATTTGTTCTGATGTTGAAGGGAATGTTCTGTCAGGGTTCTAAATGGAATATCTGTGGTGTCAGTGGCAGCAGCTCCTGCTGAGCCCTGGGAAGGCAGAGGGGATGCTCCATCCTTCCTCCCTGCCCGTGTCCCCTCCTGTCCCCTGCCCTGCTGGGTCCCTGCTGGGATGGTGCTGTTGTGCTGTTCCAGCACACAGGAATTTTCCTGTCCCTGGACTTCATCCCTGTGAGATTTCTGAGAGGCAGAACTGCTGTTTCAGGGCTGGGGAACAAAGCTGCTGCAGCCCCAGGAGGTGCTCCCTGAGTGGAAGGGAAATCTCCCAGTGCTTCAAAGCTGGAGGTAAAACACTCCTGGAACACGTAAGGGCTCCTACAGAGAGCAAAGAGGAGGAAATCTTACTTTAAACATGAGTCTGCATATTTTGGTGTTCTTTTGGTTGGGTTTTTTTAAAAGGCAAACCTTTACAGGCTCACAAAAGTAACAAAAGATCCAGTGATATCCCTTCAGCTCCCTGAAAAGGAGGATTTTCAGCAGAAAATGAAATCAGTGAAATCCTTTCACTTTCTTTCTTAGGTTTTTAACAACCATACCCGAGGTTTCTGACACCCAGAAAAGTTAAGAAAAGAAAACTCAGCTGCAGGGTTTCATGGGTTTCAAAGCAGGGCACAATCAAGTAAAATAATCTAACTTTAAAATCTGGGGGCTTTTCATTCACACTGAGCTTTTCTCGCTGAGGGAGATGCTGGAGAGACACCAGGTCACTGAGATTCCTTGTTAAATGGGTGCAGTTTTACTTACAAGAACAATAAATAGCCTTTTGTGGGGAATGATCGACTGTGACAATATTTGCTATCTGAAGCCCACAGAGCCTTGGAGTGCTGCTGATTTTGTTTTCTATTAATATGGGTAATTATGTTTACTCTGCCACTTGGGATCGTATCATCATGGAAATAATTAGTACATTTCCAGATACTTTGATAGATCTCAAAATTTCCTCTAAAAGCCTCAGAATACAAACACTGAAGACAAGAAAGGCGCTTAATAATATTATTGTTCAATTTAAATATATTTAGATCAGTATCAGCGTTGGGAGGGAGGTGGCTCATGGCTTTGAAGCAGAGCTGAATATTCCTTCCTGAGTTAGAGAAAAACACTGTCTCATGTTCTTCTAGCAGGGATAAAAGACCTGGAGGGAAACTCTGGAGCAGGACTGTCAGCTGGAGCCTTCCTCACCTCCAACACCTCCTTCCCAGCCCTTCCTGTAGGTTTAGGTGCAGGGAATGGTTCCAGATGTTCATCCAGGTGCTGGCTCTGCCCTTTCACACCCTATTCCTTGGGAGGTGTCTTTTGGGTGGGGAGGATCCAGGAGTTGCATCCTGGCTCACTGTTTCCTTGGGAGAGAATTTCTCTTTTTGTCTGCCTAGGAGGGATTTGGGAGTTTTTTTTCCCCATCTGTTCTTTTGCTTTGTAACCAGAGCAAAGAAATTCCCGAAGAGTTTGGGTGAACCCATCGTGTTGGTGACCGAGAACTGAAGATATTTTGGGGGGATGAGGGATTAGCCATGATAATCCATTAGGCAAACTTCCCACATGCTTCTTGCAGTGAGGAAAAACTCTTTTTGGATGTCTTTTCAAACAGCTGGTTATAAAACAGGATTTGTGTAGCCTGGTTTCCACAACCTCTTGCTTTAATGATGTGGTTTATGTCTCCATAGCTTTCATCCATCTTCAGTGGTAATGAGCAGGGAGCAATTAGCAATTAGTTAGCTCAGCAGTTTCTGGGAGAAGGGCCTCCTGCCCCCCCACCCCGGGGGGATGTTGTGGCCTTTCTTCAGCAGATTGTGCTTTGAAGCTCCCAAGGACACTGTGGCTTTTGGGATCTGGAGAGAGGACACTGTCCTGGGAGCTGCAGAGCATCTGCTGCCCCAGCTGCTCCAGCTGCTCACCCCCATCCCTCCAGGGATTTGGGTCCCACAAGTGTCCCCTGTGCCTGGCTGGAGCTGCAGGGGGGTGGCTGGACCCTCACTGGGGTAGGAGACGGGGTGGGGAGCTCTGGGAACCCCTCCTGGGCAGCCTGGGGTGAAGGGTCCTGGTGGCTCCACTGATCCCCCTCCTGAGCTGGCTTCCATAGCCACAGGGTCTCTGAGGCTGGAAAAGACCTCCAGGAACACTGAGCCCAACCTTTGGCTGATCCCCACCTGCAGCTTTCGTGTTCCAAGGCACCAACACAGGCTTTAGGAAAAAATAACCCTGCAAAAATGAGGCGTTAGAAGATGGTCTGTGGGTGCATTTTGTCTGTAGGTGCCACATTCTGTTAATCACTGTTAATGATACAGATGTAGGTGAGAACATTTGCTCATTTTACACAGATATATTGTGCTGTTGCTCTGTCCTCCTGCTCTGCAAGTAAAGTTTTAGTGAGGGCAAAAAGCAAAGAAGAGACTGGAAGAAAGAATTAAAAAAAATAAATTCAAACATCCACTAAATAAATTTCAATAGCAAGGCATTTTGAAGAAATAAAAATGTTGCTCTTTAAAACCTGGAGACTGGAAGTAACCCAGAAACACACATTTTGAGCAGAAATGCCTTGGGTTTTTCCCAAGCATGGGGATGCTCCAAGCAGTTAAGGGTTGCAGGATGCTCTTTGGAAAGGCAGGTTTTTCCCTTGGGTTGCAGCTTCCAACCAGGAATAAGAAAAAGAGGTGATTTTAAACAGTTATGTGCTAGAAGTGCCTCATTTTATTTTATCTGCCATTCAGAAAAAAAGACTTGCAGGGGAGTAAAACTGTTTAGAGTGCAATTCTCCTGGACAGAAGCAGCTGGAATCTTTGTGTTAACTCTGAGGAATGGAAGCCCCAAGGCACACAGTTCTTGCTTTATTAACTGGGGACGTAGTTTAAAGCAAAATTTCACCTTTCCCATCATTAAGGTAAGCTGGAAAAAGCCTTTCCTTTGCACATACAATGTTAAATTGTCCACAGGCCTGGTGCCACGGGGCTGGTTTGTGTTTAGGTTGTTTCTAAAGCCAGACTTTTTATGCAGGTTTAGGTGCTCACTGATGTCACCCAGCAGCAGATATATATATTTTTTTTTTGTTCCACTGAAAATTTTCCTGAAACACAGAACACTTTCTGATATAAGGAAAGTTTTGAAGATGCCATCTGTGTGTAAAATGCACTTAAAATACAACAGTCTCATCTGGCTCCTGGTACTGCACAAATGTCCCCTCCCTGGTGGTGACACCACTGCATGGTGTGTCTGCACAGCTTTCCTGGTTCCATCTCTGCTCGTTTTCTGGGATCTCAGTGGACTCTCCAGGCTGTCCCTGTGCCATGGGAGCAGCAGGAGGCTTTAGGGAAAAAGGGGGACCGTCCCTGCCGTGATGGAGGCTGAGGCAGCTTCCCCAGGGCGGGGAAAAGAGCTCATTCCTTGTGGTTTAGTGATATTTAAATAACTCTGACAGCTTTGGTGAGGGAATGCATTGCAGAGCCAATGTCTGAGGGGTTGCAGTAAAGCATAATGGAGTTATTAAGTTAATAGTTTCATAAATGTCACCTTGTTGTGAGCAGCACAGGTAGGGGTGGTTTCACAGGGGGCCACATTAGCTGGGCTGTGCTGAGCTCTGTGTTTGGGAGCACTGAGTTTAACCCAAAGTGCTGCACATCCAACAGCTGCCCAGCATTCCCTTCCCTCTGCTGCATCCCACAGGTGTCCAAGGGCCACAAAACCCTGGCCTGGCTTCCCCCTGGCCCTCTGAAGAGGCTGGAGGTGCTGCAGAGAGCCCAGGCTTGTGCAAATCCCAGCTCTTCTCCTAGCCCTCCCTCCAGCTCTGCCCAGGAGAGGAGCACTTGAAACATCACAAGTCATTACATTAATTAGCTAATGCCTAAAAAGTGCTTTGAAGAGGAAAAGCATTAAATAAATAGGCAGTAGTGATAATATTATTTTTAATAAATAGGAGAGCACATTCCATAAGGGAGGCTCGTGTGGTGAGTGCCTTTCACTGTGTAATATTAGCAACTGAAGAATTAAGAATCTTTTCTCATGATAAAAGTCTTTCTCATGATTTCAAGATTAGTCTTTAGGCACTGTAGAGAGGTCAGGCTTTTATTTTACTCAAAAATAGGTTAAAAATTGAAGCATTTTTCTATTTTATGCTTCAGGAAGATGAAGGAGGGCAGCATGACAATGGTCTGCACCAGATGCCCCCTGCTCAGACACATAATGGAGCTGGGGAGGCTTTTCTGTGGAAACACTCTGGTCCTGGATTGAAATCCTGCCCAACTCCCTTGGAATGAGATACAAAGGTGGATAAAGAAATCTGGATCACAGTGATAAGCTCCTGAAGGGAGGACCAGGCCCAGCAGCGTGAAAAGCAGTGGTGTTATGTAAGTACATTATTTTAATTGAAAAGCAAAACGTCCTCACATTTTTTGGGAACTGTCGTGGGTTGTAAGGGGATACAAAAATGGAGGGCTTGCCATCCTCTCCCTGTGGAGACTGGATTGTCTCACTGGAGCCAACAGGACTTAAATTAGACTTTGGATTTCATGCCTTTGCTCCGAGCCTGGGGATCTGAGCAGGGGCTGCTCTTCCTTCCTTGGCCCTCTCTGGCTCAGTGCCCTCCTTAACTCCTGCTCAGCACATTTTTGGAAGGGGAATTGCAGACAGGAGGTAGCTCAGTCTTTGGAGAGAACCACTTGAGTGGAAGACCTTCCAAAAAGCTGCTTTGCTGGTGCTAAGAGGCTTCTGAAGGGCCACTGAGCCTTCCTGGGAGCGCTCGTGTCCCCTGTGGACGTGGCTGGAAGGAGGAGCTGCTCTTCTTCCAAAGCACAGAAGGAGCCACAGCCTGGTCTGACTCCTAAAAATGTCCCTTATGGGTTTAGCATTTTCCTGGCAGCAAAACATGGAGCCCTTTCTGTAGCATGTGCCTGGAATTGTTTTGTTCAGGGAAATGTGTTGGGAGAAGATCCACTGTGTGTGTGTGTGTGTGTAAATAAGGCAACAAGAGAGAAGAGGGTTTGTGTTTGATTTTAGTCACTGGAATGATTTTTCCAAGGCAGCTATCAAGAAAACCTCAGGGGGAGGTCACCCTTCCCAAAGCAGGCTCCTCAGGTATCTCCCTGTCCATCCCTACGTGTGTCCTGAAGGATCCAGTCCCTGGCTTAGACTGTCCCAGGCAGCCCCAAAGACTGCAGTTGTTTCAAGTAATGCTAATTGTGCCCCATAAATCCAGTAAGGTGACCCAGGAGTGTTCATTAGGATTTATTTGAGCCGCACTTATTGTCACTTAACAGCCTAAACAAGAGGTGCTGGTTCCTGGAGCAGTAACAGTAAATTAGAGTTATGGAGAACACAAATGCCTCATTACATCCAGTCAGGCTCTATTTCCCCTTTACAGCCACAACTGCAGGAAACATTGATTTTAATTTATGGATAAGGGTGCCCAGGAATCTTCACTTCCCTATTTACATAAACACCATAGACAATTAATCTTCTGCAAAGTAACCAGAGTGGTGATTGAAGTGTAGAGGCTCCTTCCAGAGCTCATTCCAGAATGCCCATGGGCACATGCCTATGGGATATCCCCGTTTTAATGATCATCTGTACATAGATAAGTACAAACAGCAGGAAAATAGCCAATTTATTTCCTTTTTCAAGTGCAATTTTATGCTGTGTGAGCCATTCAGTCAAAACTGATGTGAGGATTTTTATTTGCTGAAAGATTGGGGTGAAAGTTCTGGCAGAGCAACAGGAACAGCCAAGGTAGGAAAATATGATGAATTTTTATTGCAGTGTTATTTGTCTCATCTTCCCCCTGGGAAATGTTGTGTGATTTCCAAAAAAACCCCTTAGACTAATGTTGCAGCATCAATAAAACTCAGCTTGAGTGTGGGATTAATCCTGCTTGATAAGCATCTTTGGGGTTTAATAGTTTACTGTGCTCTTGATGTATTACCCACCTATATTCTGCTTTAACAGCCTTCTGACCTACACGGGGTTTTTGTGCATTGTAGGAAAAGGGGAGGGAGGTGCAGCCTGGATGGGGAGAGGAAAAATGCAGAGAACTCAACAAAACCCCTTTTTATGTTTTATTCTTCTCAAAAAGGCTGATTGGGCTCTTCAGATACTTAATTAATTTTCACAAATGAGCAAAAACGCAGGTCAGCACAGAAAAGGAGCAAATTAAAGAGTATTTAGAGCCTGGAAATATTCACAGATCAGGAGCTGTTTTATAAATTTTTGCAGAAATGGGCGACTTTGGCCAAAAATTTTCTTTCTCAAGCTGTTGCACAAGCAGAAAGGAAATGAAGGTGGTTTTCAGAACTCATAGCAAGGCTTTTGTGTTCCTGAGCAGGCAGGGAGAGGATATTTACCTGTACACTGAATAAACTTCACCTCAATATCCTCGAGTAATAACAGAAACAACTCCAAGATGCTCAACCAGAACCTCATATTTGCACACCCCGACTGTGTTTCAAGAAGAAACCAAGTTTGGCAATAATTCCCTTTTTTTTCTGCTCTCCCCAAAAGGTTTGTATTTCTCAGCTCAGACCTTTCTCTCAATCCCATCCACATTCCAGGCTCTTTTATTGTTGCTGCAAGAGATAAATTTTGGATATTGCTCACATGAAAGTGCTGCTGCTATTTTTTGATCCCTTGGATGTGGCCCAGTTGTTCTTTGCCCTCTCCAGGACTTTCAAGCTCAGGAATTCAATGTATCTTTGAGGGCACAGCTCATTTTTTAAGATGAATTTTCCCATAAAATGTTTTGGCACTAAAAAAGTTCGGAGTTCTTGCCACCCCTTTGGAGAATCAGAGAGAAAAAATGACTTTGGGAGTTTTGTGGTTCCAGTTTTAATGTGGGGTTTTACCAATTTGATTCTGTGTTTGCCTGGAGCAATGGAATCAGTGGAGAGGAGCCTGTGGATTCCATTTGGAAACCAAATTCGTATTTTTTTATCTCAGGAGTTCTCCAAATTGTTGTTATTTTAGAACTTTTTTTGAGAATTTTACAGGTTTGCTGATTTTCTTCCAGACAATCATTTACATTGGTGCCACAAAAATATCTTGTTAATTCTTTTTGGCAACTGAAAAGTTTAAAAAAGGTCCTTTTCCCAGAGCAATAGTGTTGTAAAAAGGCATTTCCTACTTGTCCAACCCCTTTCTGGTGGCATTCCCAAAAATCTTCATTCCTGTCCTGTTCCAGCTCAGTCAGTGGCAGCTCCTCTGTGCACATATGGATGAATTTATTAAAGCTTTCACATGATTTACCAAATAAACACGTTGAAACTGAGCTAAGAAAATGTTAAATTTCTTTAACTGTTATCAATTAAAGACAAAAATCAATAGCAGGGAAAAAAAGTGAGAAAATCCATGGAAATGCTTTAATTTCCTTGTTCTTGCTGGTTCCAGGAGTGTCATGTGCAGTCGTGCAAGGTACAAAATTAAGCTGCAAATGTCATTTTGTCCTGACAACGGTGCCTGGAAATGAGATGTTCCCTGATGAGAAAACATTCAGTGCCTGAGCACTGAAGTTCTTGAGGGAAGACTCACAAAATACTCTTTAAATACCAAAAGACCCCAACTTTTGGTCCTTTTTTTTTTGAGTTGCTGTGTTTGCATCCTGGCTGGAGCGAATCCAAATGATTCTTTTGCTTTTGTTAATTGCTGCAAATAATTCCAATTCCTTCAGGTGATCATAAATCCCCTGCTCCCAGCAGAGCCTTGGACGTGGCAGGATGGATTACAGGCAGAGCTTTCCCCCTCCTATTGATTGATTCTTTGCAGTGGACCTTAAAAATCCATTAAGGAAGGAGTTAGATGATGGGCATTAATTCCAAATCCTTTGTTGGTATGTGCAGCTGAAAAAAAGCCTTTTCAAAACCATTAATCATAACTCAAACCAGACTCACTTTAAAATAAACTTTACAGTAAATTGGAGGACAAAGCCAAGGAAGGTGTTTAAATTCCCTGTCCCAACGTGCACTGAGGATTTTTCTCAAGTGTTTCACTGGATTTATTTTCAATATTTTTCAGTTTACCTTGTTCTGATAAGAAGATGTTGATGTGCAGCCACCTGTGCCAATAATGAAGAAGATGTTTGCTGTTTAACAGATAAGAGATGTCACCACTTTGGAGGCATCTGAGGAATAAAATAAATAAAACTTGCCATCTCCTCCCAGGGAACATCGTTAATCAGGCAAAACTTTGTGTAGAATAAAAAAAAACAACCTTCCTTCTGAAATCTGCAACCATTATTAATTGTTAACTTTAATTTATACTGAATGGTTTGTGCATCCCTTGCTCCCACCATCTCAAATCTTAGCAAGTTTGGTTGGACTTGATGATCTTCCAAGGCTTTTTCCAAGGCCTTTTCCAACCTAAACATTTCTATGATTCACAAAGCTGTGGATCCCCATGGTATATTTCTCCTAAAATTCTAAATTCTATCCAAGTGAGGAGAATCAGGAACTGCAGTTTCCAAAGCTTGAAGGTGAATTTGAAAAAAAAAACAAACCAAAAAACCCACCCTTGTTTCCCAAAGGTCCCATATCCAGCAGTAAATCACCAGTGGAATTGGAGCTGGTGAGTTGTGTAATAAAGATTAATCCTCCCCCACTCCAAGAACACTCCTGGGAGAACCTGAGACAGCCCCTTCATTGCCAGGTGGTTACTAAAATTCATGAGTGCTTTGTGGCAGCTGGAGAATGAATTTCCACGTTGTTGGATGTATTGTAAGATATGAAGAGCTGTGGAGCAGTGGCACAGCAAAAATAAGTATTCCTGGCAGGGTGGGACAGCTCAGGAGCTTCTGCCCCTGCAGAAGTTTTATATAATCTGATAGGAGTCCACGGTTTTATTCCCCTAATGGTGTTCCACACTGATCATTAATTAGAATTATTTTTATATATATGTATATTTTTTTTAAATTTCATTCTGTGAATTGCCTCAAAATCTGAATTTTCTATTAGTGATTTTTTTTTCCAAATCCTTGCTTTGGAAAACATGCAACAATCTTTGAAGGACACCATCCAGCACCAATTATAAAGGAGCATCCACAGCAGCTACACAGGGAAAGGGATAGGACTGTTAAGCCAGTTTATTATTTCTGCAGAGATTTGCTGTCCTTAATTTGCATAGAACTGCCTTTGATTAAAAATTGCCTGTCACAGAAGCACCTCGGTGATTTTTTTTTTTGGAGCAGTCATCTCTTCTCCTAATGAGGATATATTTTATGCAAGGGTATGTTTTTATTTCTTCTAAA